GTGTTGTAGTGTTGTAGTGTGTTGTGTTGTTGTGTTGTGTTGTTGTGTTGTGTTGTTGTGTTGTTGTGTTGTTGTGTTGTGTTCACTCTGCAGTTTAATTCGTAGGAGATAGGAGGCAGCTTTCCTGACATATTTTCCTTCTCTGCCTCATACGGGTCGATCTCTTCAGCATCCATTTTGTTTGTGTGTCTTTCACGTTGGCCACATATTTTCTTTTTGTTGGTCTCGAAGCCGTCGGTCAGCTATGCATTGCAGCTGCTCTTGCCTACAAAGATGGTGCGAATCACTTCCAGTTCAGACTTGTGGAATCTGTGTATTCTGAAAATATGAAAGAGCATAGAGAGCTAACGATAAAAACAGAGGCAACCTGGTCATAGAGAGGTTTAGAGGCTAAAAGAATACATGTGAATGTGTTTCTGTGTTGCTGCAGGTGGTGTTGGAGTGATTCTGGCAGATTATGGCCCAAGCTGGCGGGAACATCGCCGCTTTGCTCTGATGACTTTGAGGAATTTCGGTCTGGGAAAGAAATCAATGGAGGACAGAATTCATGATGAGATTCAACACACCATTAAAACCCTGGAGGGCAGTATCGGTACGTCACTGGTTACTCTCTGGGTTCTGTTCTGTAGCCTGTTTTAAATGGCTGTTTTGATTTTCATGCAGGTAAAACTCTGAGTCCTCGGGTCATGTTCCATAACGCCGCTTCCAACATCATCTGCCAGGTTCTGTTCGGAAAGCGCTATGAGTACGACGATGACATGATCAAAACGATTGTTAAGTGCTTCACTGAAAACGCCAAGATAGCCAATGGGCCCTGGGCCATGGTGAGTTAAAGGCCACACCTCTCCCCCTTAAGTAGAAGGTTTAATTCATAATGCTATCAAAGTCTTGCATGTAACACAGTGACGTATTTGTGATGCTCTTGGCTCTGAGTCACAGCCGGCTGTTATGTCACTTATTGATAAAATGCATGATATCTGGCTATTAAAACTTTTTCTGCCAGCAGGGTGATTTGTATGACAGCATATTAGGGCTGTCGTAGATGACAGATTTTTAGATTAATCCCAGAAATTTTGTAGAAAATGAATGGAAATTTTTTAATTTAAAAAGTTGAAAATTTGCCATGAAAACCTCAGAAAACGTCCAAAAATTTAAATGTCTTTGTATTTTTTTTTCTAGAAAATATCAAAGATAATCTAAACATTTCTGAGTCTTTTGGCGGAAATGTGTTTGTCTATTTTTTTTTATATTTTTTTTTTCTTTTCAATCTACACTTGCCCAAATATGCTGTGTGTAAATGAAACTGAAATAATTAGCTATTGGAAATAAATACCCATATTTTTTCTTTTCTTTTTCTTTACAGATATATGATTCTATTCCCTTTTGTCGTAACCTCCCACTGCCGTTCAGAAAGGCCTTTAAAAATTCAGAGGTAAAAACGATATTTCTCTATTTCTGCATTTCCTGCTATTTTTGCTTCAGTTTCTCCATCCATGTTGTGAATTTTGTAAAACTTAATTTAGGAACTGTAAAGAATTTGTTTCTAATCATTGTCAACTCAGAAATATAAAGTCTGTAAAACATTACATTTGTCTGACTGAGAAAACTTTTAGCGAAAGTTTTATGATGTATACCGTTTCCATAACAAAAAAATATTTTCTTTAGATTTGCCAGAACTACATTAACTCTTTGGTCACTGAGTACAAGAAGACCAGAGTTCCTGGGGATCCTCGACACTTTGTTGACTGTTACCTGGATGAACTGGAAAAGGTTTGTAAGTCATCCAACATAAGAAACTCGCTAAGTTTTTGTCTTCATTTATAATACTCATAAGCTGTCCTCTTTCCAGAGAAATGATGACGGATCCTCCTTTTCAGAAGCTCAGCTCATGACTTATAGCCTGGACCTTCACTTCGCTGGGACTGACACGACGTCCAACACCCTGCTGACAGGATTTCTCTACCTGATGGCCTACCCACACGTCCAAGGTAGGAAGTTCAGGTTCCATCAATGTGTTTACTTGTAATTAAGTTCAGTCACCGGAAAGACACAAAATCTAATTTTTGTCTAATTTGTAGTGCAAATATGTTAGTACACTTGAAATAAGGCAAAACTAATTCACAAGTAACCTTTCAGTAAGATGAGGAGTTTAATTTAAACAAATATTTCCTTAATGATGAAAAACAATAATTACAGTGGCAGATTATTTCACCTACAAGATGCTTCTCCCAGGTTATTCATCAAATGTTGATGAATATCTTTCCTCAGTATTAAGAAATTATTTACTGGGCCTGTTGCAATAAGCAATCTTTCAATTAATCGCATGATAAATTAAAAGGAGCAAAATAATTTCCAATTTAATTATTTATCATTTTTCTCTTTTCTCTCTTTCTATCAAAACCTGGAGGACAAAAGTTTCCAGTCTGGTGATTTGTTCTCAACTAGCCTTTTTTTTTGAAGGACAATTTTGTTTACACACATTAATAACTTATTTTATTTGTTGTTTGTTGTTTTGTTTATGTATTTTGGATATTTAAAATGTCTTCCAGTTCCAGTGTTAAATGTTCATTAGAATTTCAAGTTTATTGATCTTTGAGAATGTGTTCTTGCATAATTATGCCATTACCATTACATTGTGTGAAAATGGTCCTGAAACAACAATATTATCGTTTATCGCAATAACTTCTGGGACAGTTTATTGTCCAGCAAAATTTGTTGTTGGCTTAAGCACTTGCTGAAAAGTTACTTATTAGTTAGTTTTGTCTTATTTGAGGTGTACTAGCATGTTTGCACTAGAAATTTGCTCAAATTTGGTAAGATTTAGTGGTTTTGCGGTCATGGACCCAGCAGTTTGAGGGTGAGGGGTTCAAGACTCCCAGCAGGAGTCATTTAAATTGGAAACATAACAGTGGTGCTGCAGGTTAAATAACTGGTCCAGAGCAGAAAAGCGTAGAAACGAATCATGTGGGATGTGGAACGACTGATGCGTTTGTATTTTTATTCCTCCCTCAGAACGATGTCAGCAAGAGATAGACCAGGTTCTGGAGGGAAAGGACCGGGTCTGTTTTGAGGACAGAAACAGCATGCCTTACGTCCAGGTACCATAGCATAGTAACTCTGTCAGTTTGTTTTTTTCTCTTGTAGCCGCTTCCTATTTGATCTTGTTGCTTCATTTACCCTTTTGAATTCAAATTTATTAGTTGCAATAATGACCAAACAATTAAACTTACAAACACGTTTTATTGCTTCCAGTCAGAAATAGTGTTAGAAATCTTCCTTCATGCAGGCTGTGCTCCATGAGATTCAGAGGATTGCCAACACGGTTCCTCTCAGTGTCTTCCACTGCACCACGAAGGACACAGAGCTCATGGGATACTCCATTCCCAAGGTAGGTCAGGAAAGTTTCTGCAAAAGGGACACTAATTAATGAAGACCATCTGATTTCGGCATTTGATATTCATGCTTCTCTTCAGGGTACAATGATCATCCAGAACCTGAACTCAGTCCTGAGGGAGGAGGGACAGTGGAAATTCCCTCATGAGTTCAACCCTGAAAACTTCCTGAATGAAAAGGGAGAGTTTGTCAAACCTGAGGCCTTCATGCCTTTCTCTGCAGGTAAACTGAGATGTGTCACGGTTGAGGTAACCACCTTGAAGTGTGGGTTGGATCTCCTGGTTTCTCTCTTCCAGGTCCTCGGATGTGTTTGGGAGAGGGTCTGGCCCGCATGGAGCTCTTCCTCATCACGGTGACTCTGCTGAGGAAGTTTAAGTTCATCTGGCCGGAGGATGCAGGAGAACCTGACTTTACTCCGGTCTATGGAGTCACTCTAACGCCGAAACCTTATCACATGAAGGTCCAACTGAGGTCCAAACAGTGAGGAGCAGAAACTAACCGCGTCTCCTTTACGAATGTACATAAAACTTTGTTAATTTTCCGCTAATGTTGGGGGGAAAAAAATCCCAACTCTGATGTTGCCATTAAAATCATGGATGAAAAAGTTTAAGAGATTGCCGCGCCATCGTCCTTCCTCTACCTCCTGTTGTCTTCATCTTTTCTGCCAATAGTAGCATCTGATTACTGATCACATGATTCGTGTGATGCAAAAACAGTGTTTCCATTTCAGTTTTAGAAAATACACAAATGTCTGTACATTGTAAAACCACCTCATGCTATCGCAAAAACCTTTTAACAAAAAAATGTGTTTTTTCAAAATTGTTGAGTTTCCATAAAGCAAATTTATCTTTGTAATTCCAATGTGCACAATTTTAAGGTCAATGCAAACGCAGTTACAGATGAGGAATAAAAGACTGAAAAAAAAAAACTTCTAAATAATCAATGCATTTTGATACTAATGAATAAAAACTTACCTAAAAATCTTTTCAAGACCAAAGAGTTTTCATTCTTCCATTCAATTGTTTCTGTATGAGTTTACATGTTACATGTTTTATTCTATGGCTGGAAACTTGCAGCACACATTTGGAGAAACAACAGGGAAACAAATTACATTTAAGTTGGTATTTATTGAAAACATCCATTAACAGAGAGGCAATAATGACCTAATAATAACATATAGTGTCATTATGAAAACTGGTCTGCAGACATTATTGGAGGGAATTTACTTGGATTTGTTTGAACTGTTTTTATCTGCTTTTTGCTTCATTTCTGCACCAGATTCACAAGGCAGATTCCACTAAATACACAGAGACAAACTTACCCATCAGTCCCAGTAGATGGCAGCATTCTGCATTTGGTTTTGTTTTAAGAGATGAAAAGTAGGCTACACAATGTTATTTGTAGTTTGTATGAATTCAGCAAATAGCTGTGAATTTGTCCCTGAAAATCCAGTTCCCTTTTATGAACAACTTAGTGCATCACTGTAGCACAGCACAGCAAGCTGCTATGTAGAAAAGCAGCAGTTTAAAACTCTAAGAACATTTTCTTTTGCATTGAGTCATGTGGCACCTGTGCTCAAAAACATGTTTAAAAAAAAACAATAAAACTTAAAATAAGTGAACACACACAAGACATTGCAATTATTGAGAAAAACTGAAAATATTTCTTTGAGCTGCAGCTAAATGTTTTTCTAAAGTAAATGGGTTTTATTCAGTATGTCAGGTTACTTACTAAGATAAAAAATAACTAATACTAAAATGTCTTTTCAAAAAGATTTTTTTTATGTGACGTTTTTGCCCAGATGTACCGTTTTAGCCCAAAGAAAACTGCAACACCGCCCATATACGTCACTTCCTGTAGCTGTAAACAGTTCTCCATTCATATTTGATTTCCTCCTTCGCTCTAAATACAAAGAATCAAAGTACACAAGCAAAGCACTGAGAGCTGAGCTGCTCTTTCATAAGAACTCGAGCAGCTTTGCGGTTCAGTTTAATCCAATCCGAACCACCATGTTTGTTTCTCTATTTCTGTTGGGACTCTGTGCTTTCTTCATTCTTCAACTCAAACCTCCCAGACCCAAGAACTTCCCACCAGGACCCCCCAGTCTGCCTCTGCTGGGAAACCCGCTGCATCTGAACTTAGAGAACCCCTTAAAGGACTTTGAGAGGGTAAGACAATGTCTGGAGTAAACCCACTAACCCACACCTAGTTAACCTGGACTAAACACAGAGTATTACAGAAATGAAAAACTTTAACTCACAGTTTTGATGAGCAAATAATGAGTGGGTTAAATATCCCATTAAAGTACAAAAAAACCTTTCTGTTGGTTTGGAAGATCGTTTTGGTTTATCATGAGGAAAAAACATGGAAATATTGAAGCAACATCTGAAGATATGAGCCACATAGCTGAATGGGTCTTGGACAATGACGACCTGAACCATCAAATATGGACTTCAGAACAGCAAAATCCAGTGATAATCTCAGTTACATAAAGCTGAAAAGATGTTTGTGAGCAAAGACCTGTTGTGAGGAATAGGCTAAAATTTCAGCAAACTGTTGTGTAAATTTTCTGGAAGTATGCCTGCATTTGACCCAAGTTGCATTTGCTACAGAAATATACGCAAACTTCTGAATTCAAAGAAACATACTGTAAAGTTTAGTTTTATTTAATTTCGGTCAGAGAGAAAAAAAAGCAAAGGAACTTTTCACACAGGTTTTACGTCTGGTTTCAACTGTATGGGTTGTTCTCGAACGGGCAAAAGCCTGATTCCTGGTTTATTCTCTCTCGTGTCTTATTTCTATTTCCCTTGAGATGTTTAGTTGTTATTTAGAAAATTGGTCATTCTTTTATTGTGATAACAAAAAATTACCTTTTCCTTATATAAACAGTTGGCAAAAAGTTAATTTGGTTAAATATGGATTTTTATCTTTTTGTAGACAATTCATCATAAAATGCTTAGCTAGTTCTGTAAGTAACATGAGAATTAAAACTATGATGCATCTAATAAAAATGACTTGTGCTGTTTGCTTCCAGCTCAGGGCGTCGTATGGAAACGTCTACAGTCTGTTCATTGGTTCAAAACCAGCCGTCGTCATCAACGGGTTTGAGGCCATGAAGGAGGCGATTGTTGTCAAAGCTACAGATTTCGCTGGAAGACCCCAAGACCTTTTTATAAATGATGTCACCCAGAGAAAAGGTAGATGTGTAGATTTGTGATTTCATTCATTAACATGAGGTTCTTTTATC